TGCGGTGTTTAATGGACATTTGAGTGTCTTAACGTTGTCGGAATTGAGTGATCTTGGGCTCGTTGGATTTGTCTTGTTGAGACGCTTGATTTGAGGTCGACATCTGTTTGACCTTTCAAATGTGTTTAAAAATCTTCCAATGGCGGTTTAATGACTTGATCCGAGCTTGATTTAACTCGGATTGAACTTGTTTTTATATCATGAGGTCTGTCTCATTGAGCCGGTCAGTTTGACTATAAGTTTACTGAAATCAGAACTCTGCATGAATTTTTATCAAGATTTAAACTTTTATTGTTCAAAATATCATCTCGAGATTCATGCCATATCTCGAAATTCGTCCGGGATGATGAAAATTTGTTGGTGGGGTATCAAGTGCTATTGAAATATCTTGTTTTTATATTGGAATTCCAAAGAAAAAAAAATCACATGAATGATAGTTCTACGTACATATGTTCAGCAATACAACCTCGAATAAATTTGCTTAATTAAGGAAAAAAAAAAAAAAAACTAATCATATCGCTATCATTAAAAAAAAACAATGTAAAATAATTTAAATCTTGAGATAACAAAAAAGACAATATCTCATTTGGCCGCCTTTTTGTCTCTAACTTGGCAGAAACTTCTGCAAGGTGGAGAAAAATTACAACATAGTGGGAATTAATTTAGTGGTCTTACTAAAAATGACAATAATTTTTTAGTGCGTGCGCGCCACCTGTAAATGAAGAATGTATTGCACGAATTTTGAGAAGATATCTAACTAGAGAGGAAAAGAGGTGCAACAAAAAAGAGATTCAGAACCTACTCGAGCAAGGAGACGAACAAAAGGATTGATTAGAGCTTGAATCAATCGAACCAGGGGAAGGCAGATAAACACCTGAGCTAACCACCATCGAAGAGTTGGAAGAAGGCATCGACCTACCTCTTGGTAGATAAAATCCGAGGAAAGAATCTAGTTAATCACAATCATCATCTGTCCCTTGGACACCCCCAAGGATTAAGGGTCGACGGGCAGACTAAAGTATCTGATCGACTGTATAGCCGACCGAGCGAGTCCTTATAAACTGGAGCTAATTGAATCAAGCCGACCGGCTATGCTTACTCAATCAAGCCGATCGAATGAGCCTTACTGAGTTGAAGTGATGATAGGCCAATCGACCAATCATAAGGCAATCGAGCAATAAGCTTGTATCTGTAAAATATCTCAAGGATTGAGGGTCGACAGTCAGACGAAAGTATCTGATCTACAAAGTATAGCCGATCGAGCGAGTCCTGATAAGCTGAAGCTAATTGAATCCAACTGACCGACTATACCTACTCAATCAAGCCGATCGAACCAGCCTTACTGAGTTGAATTGATGCTAGACCAATCAGCCAATCATAAGGCAGCCGAGCAATAAGCCTTTATCTTGGGTGGTTGACGGTGGAGGTCGGCGGTAGGCGACGACAATCTACGGTGATGCTGAGCTATAACTTCTCTTCAATGCCTCAGGCTCTCTCTCTAGACTTCAACTTCCTCTCATGCAAGGGATGTGAGTCTATTTATAGTGTTCTGGGTGTAATTAATATAGGAATATCAACTATTTTGATCAGACGGTCTACAGAGCTTCCTTAAACATGAGGTTTTTAATGGACATTTGAGTGTCTTAACGTTGTCGGAATTGAGTGATCTTGGGCTCGTTGGATTTGTCTTGTTGAGACGCTTGATTTGAGGTCGACATCTGTTTGACCTTTCAAATGTGTTTAAAAATCTTCCAATGGCGGTTTAATGACTTGATCCGAGCTTGATTTAACTCGGATTGAACTTGTTTTTATATCATGAGGTCTGTCTCATTGAGCCGGTCAGTTTGACTATAAGTTTACTGAAATCAGAACTCTGCATGAATTTTTATCAAGATTTAAACTTTTCTTGCTCAAAATATCATCTCGGGATTCATGACTTATCTCAAAATTTGTCCCCGGATGATGAAAATTTGTTGGTGGGGTATCAAGTGCTATTAAAATATCTTGTTTTTATATTGGAATTCCAAAGAAAAAAAAATCACATGAATGATAGTTCTACGTACATATGTTCAGCAATACAACCTCGAATAAATTTGCTTAATTAAGGAAAAAAAAAAAAAACTAATCATATCGCTATCATTAAAAAAAAACAATGTAAAATAATTTAAATCTTGAGATAACAAAAAAGACAATATCTCATTTGGCCGCCTTTTTGTCTCTAACTTGGCAGAAACTTCTGCAAGGTGGAGAAAAATTACAACATAGTGGGAATTAATTTAGTGGTCTTACTAAAAATGACAATAATTTTTTAGTGCGTGCGCGCCACCTGTAAATGAAGAATGTATTGCACGAATTTTGAGAAGATATCTAACTAGAGAGGAAAAGAGGTGCAACAAAAAAGAGATTCAGAACCTACTCGAGCAAGGAGACGAACAAAAGGATTGATTAGAGCTTGAATCAATCGAACCAGGGGAAGGCAGATAAACACCTGAGCTAACCATCACCGAAGAGTTGCAAGAAGGCATCGACCTACCTCTTGGTAGATAAAATCCGAGGAAAGAATCTAGTTAATCGCAATCATCATCTGTCCCTTGGACACCCCCCCTCCCTGGTTCCCTATCAAGGATGAAGGGTCGACGGGCAGACTAAAGTATCTGATCGACTGTATAGCCGACCGAGCGAGTCCTTATAAACTGGAGCTAATTGAATCAAGCTGACCGGCTATGCTTACTCAATCAAGCCGATCGAATGAGCCTTACTGAGTTGAAGTGATGATAGGCCAATCAACCAATCATAAGGCAATCGAGCAATAAGCTTGTATCTGTAAAATATCTCAAGGATTGAGGGTCGACAGTCAGACGAAAGTATCTGATCTACAAAGTATAGCCGATCGAGCGAGTCCTGATAAGCTGAAGCTAATTGAATCCAACTGACCGACTATACCTACTCAATCAAGCCGATCGAACCAGCCTTACTGAGTTGAATTGATGCTAGACCAATCAGCCAATCATAAGGCAGCCGAGCAATAAGCCTTTATCTGTAAAATATCTAGAATATTTTGTATGGTGCCATTAAAAAATGAATAGAAATTTAATATCACATATTATACCAACTCCACTATAAATAGCAGGATCATTTTATGATAAAATACTTTAATCAAAATTTGGACATTTATTGTTTAAAAAGTTTTCTTGTGATTCATGTCAGATGATAAAATCTATTAACGACGTAACAATCTATATAGAAATAAACAAAAAAAAGATCAAAATTTTATAATAAATATGATTTTAAAATTGTTAAAAAAGTACATGCTGGCGCTCATTAGTCAGGGCCGAAGATGAAATTAAAGATCAAAAGACTCGGATATTATTGGCTAGCAATAATGTCCGACTGCATGAATACAACCAGAAGATGTCACCAGTGTCCAGTGCATGGGGTGGTCTTGCACCAACCTCCGAATGTGCTACACCTGACCGTCGCTTCATGGCCGTTCGAGTGTTGGGGCACATACATAATATTTCCGATAGACCCTCCGTCTTACAGAGGACACAGATTCATACTCGCCGCTACAGATTACTTCTCCAAAAAAATCATTTACAAACATACCACCCGGCTTCCATGCATTTACATACCTAATACATAAATTTATGTTTTACATTGATTCATACCACCCAACTTTTTTACATCACATAACAAAAATCATTATTTCAACATTTAAAAAACAATATATCAAGTAAAATTTAGATGTTTAATATGCAAATATTCAGGAATTATATGGTGTGTATGTAAATGCCCTGAAAATATATTTATGAATGTTCTCCAATTGCCGATACCAAGCTTGCGTGTGACTTAATATACTGTAAAATTCTAAGTTCCTATTTATTTAATTGGCTTAGTAGTCAAAATTCCAAGCTTTTATCTTAATTTTTCTCAACTTGACTTAATATTTTATAGAAGAAAAATCAATGAATATGACATTTGATTGGAGCAAATTAAAGGGTTGAACCAGATTCATTCAACATTGTTTAAACTAAATCTTTGATCAAATTGTCGCATGAGCCGTTTTCAATGCTCGTTGTAAATGTATGGTGGGGAAAGGATATTTTCCAAGTTGCAATATCAATTATAAATATTTATAGATTAAAAAAAAAATCAGAAAACTAATTTCTTATATGCATTGCACTTTAACAGATAAATTTGATACGCTATCAACAAATTTTCATCATCCGACATAAATCTCAAGGCATAACAAGAATCTCGAGATAACCTTTTGAGCAAAAAATATTCAAACATCAATTAAGAGTCATCTAGAACTATAAACATCAGCAAACTTATAGTTAGATTGACTGACTCGATGACACAGACCCAATGATATTAAAATTAGTCCAATCTAAGTCAAATCAAGCTCAGACAAGTCATTAAATCAGAATTGAATAATTTCCTGATTGACTGACTCGATGACACAGACCCAATGATATTTAAATTAGTCCAATCTGAGTCAAATCAAGCTCAGACAAGTCATTAAATCACAATTGAATAATTTCCGAACACATTCAGAAGGTTAAATGAATGTCAAATAAAGCTAGTTCATAGTCGAATCAAACGTCTCAACAAGAAAAAACCAACGAGCCCAAAATTTAAAGCACTCAAATGTCCATAAAACTTTGTTTAATTGAATAACTCTAGACCGTCCGATCAAAGTAGTTCATATTCCTGCAATAATTGCACTCACAATACTATAAATGGAGCCCCTCCCCTCTTGTGAAATATTAGTTCCCCACCAAGAATGAATTTACATATTTTATATATAAAGTTTCATATTTATATTTATAACACCCTATGCACAATAAATTATGAGTATGGCATCTAATAAGATCACAAAGTGATAATTTTGATGTGATTTTAAAATTTTGAGTGTTCTGAATGCAAAAATTAAAATTTAAGTATTGACTTTTTTTATAAAAAGCACATCTTAATGCTTGCACTCATCATATTCTTCTTTCTCGTGAACTCCTCTTCAAATGAAACAAATATTGTCTGGTTGTTGAGATTTGGAGTGATGTGCTCGAATCTCAACAGTTGGCCATGTAAATAACATACTCCTCCAAATGACTTAACATGAATCTAGTAAATTGTAAGTTATTCCCTCATCAAATAATTCCTAAACAACAAAACGTTGAGTAATGTTAAATCCCCAGATGTTCAGATTTTTTCCCCCAATATCATTCCGATTGAAGTTTTCTCCTTTCATTTTTTATTTTATAATTTTCTGACTGCTTCAACCCCCATCCAATAGATTTAAAATCCATTTCCCCTTCCACCCCCCATCCTTTCATTTCAAACCCCCAACACCCCATCTTTCTTCACAGAGCCATGGTGAATCTCCGCCATTTCTGCTGCGTTTCTCGCAAGAACAATCATGAAGACGGCGGCCACCGTTCATGCCAGTAAGTTCAATTCAATCATATCGTCTAACTTTAATTGATTTCCTTCAATCTAAATTTCCATATTGAGATATGCGCGTGTATAACTAGTAGCTCAAGAACTTCGTCTAGCAGCTGCTTCACTGATAGCCCGTGGGAAGTCTTCACCCTCCTACCCGCCACCAATAACTTCAGCGAGGCCAGCAAGCTCGGCGAGGGTGGCTTCGGTACCGTCTACTGGGGCCGCACTCCCGCCGGCGGCGAGGTCTGTAAACACTCCCCTAACTCCAACTAAATCTAATTCCTCATCAAAATCACTTTTTTAACATAAATATCAAAACAAAACCGGTTTTTTCTTTATTCGGGTTGCAGATAGCGGTGAAGAGATTGAAGACGATGACTCCGAAAGCGGAGATGGAGTTTGCGGTGGAGGTGGAGGTTTTGGGCAGAGTTATGCATAAGAATCTATTGAGTCTCCGGGGCTATTTCGCCGGCGGAAACGAGAGGCTAATTGTTTATGATTATATGCCTAATCGGAGCCTGCTCGGCCACCTGCACGGCCACCGCGCGCATGATATACTTCTCGATTGGCGCACTCGCCTCCGCATAGCCATCGGCTCTGCTTCGGGGATTGCGTGAGTGTTGCAATTCAGCTTATTTTTAATTTTTTATGCAATTTATTCAATTTTTTTGTGTTTGTTGTTACAGGTATCTGCACCACGAGGCGAGTCCACACATAATCCACAGAGATATAAAGGCGAGCAACGTGCTCCTGGACAGCAAATTGCGGCCAAAAGTGGCGGATTTCGGGTTCGCGAAGCTGATTCCGGAGGGGGTGAGTCACCTGACCACACGTGTGAAAGGCACGCTGGGGTACCTGGCGCCGGAATACGCCATGTGGGGGAGGGTGTCAGAGAGCTGCGATGTGTATAGCTTCGGAATACTTCTCCTGGAAATCGTGAGCGCTCGGCGGCCGATAGAGAAGCTGGCCGGCGGCGCGAAGAGGGATATAGTACAGTGGGCGTTGCCGCTGGCGGAGAGCGGAAACTGGGAGCAGATTGCGGATCCGAGATTGAATGGTAAGTATGATGCCGTGCAGCTAAGGAATTTGGTTGTTGTGGCGATTAAGTGTACCGACGGGTGTCCGGAGAACCGGCCGGAGATGAGGGAGGTGGTGCGGATGCTTCGGGTCGGTGTCGGGTCGATGCGGGTGAAGGAGGTGGGCGAGGTGGAGGAGGAGAAGGAGAAGGTGGTGGTAATGGGGAAGGCGGAGAAGGAGGAGAAGGAGAAGGAGGAGGAGGAGGCGATGATGATGACTGAGCCGTCTGATTATTTCTGTATTAGGAACAAGAATGAGTCGATGATGATGATGAGATGATGGACATGAAAATTGATGTTGGCTACAAGGGAAAAAGATGATAATAGTAGTTTAGTTTTGTATTTAAATAAATTTAAGATTTTGAGTAATTGGGTTAACGGAGAGGCACGTAAGTTGATGATTAGATCAAAAATGAAATTAAAATGATGAACATGTAAAAAAAAAGGATGGGGGGTTTTTTTATAATATTATTTTGATAAATATGAGATAAAATTGCAGCTTAATTTGAAACTGTCAAACAGGTAGATGTAGATTATTATCAAAGATTTATTATTAATATTATTAATAATATTACTATTATTATTTACGTTTGACATTGACGAATTTTTTATTCTTCATCAATATTGTATTTTCATAATTTAAACATGGATTTTTTGGCAGATTATTTTGAACAAGTCATTAAGTAGAACAGATTTGTTCCACATGGGCATGGCTGGCGAGCCAGCGATTTTTTGGAAAATAAGATAAAAAAAATCTGATAATATGTTTTTTTCTTAAGGTGAAAAGTAATGCAGCTAAGATGACGTTTTTGAAATTACTAAATTGTTTGTATGTCAACATTTAAATATTTTTAATTCATAAAAGTGACGGTAATCATTTAAATATAAGACTAATATATTTCAATTTTGAATTAAAATTTTACTCTATAAGAATTAGTTGTCCCTATGAATGTAAATGCACTCATTAGCAAAGTTTATCGAGCCACGAGTTCGAGCTCGAAATCAAAATCAAGCTTGTTTATTAAACAAACCCGAGCTAGCCCTTGCTCGGCTAGTTCGCTTGCAAGGAGGCTGGATTATCCTACCACTAGTCATTTCAGCCACTCTAATCACTTATTGCAGCAATTATATCTCATTATATGTTTGTGGAACACAAGCACATATTTTGATTTGGAACTCAATTTGTTTCTTCATATTGTTATATATATTTTTTTTCAATAATTTGTTTCTTCATATTGTTATATATATTTTTTTTTCAATAAGTGTGATTTTTTTCATTCCTCACATCCCATTAAGCGCAAACACGTGACATTTGTTTATCTGCTCTTCAACTATCAATTTCAATAATGGCTATCAATTTCAATAATGGCATCTTAATTCTCAGTTTTTAGCACATCAAATTCTACCAAGGAGAAATTTTGGCAGGTGTTCACCGCTAGGAAATGTAATGGGACAATTTGGGATGTAAAAGAGTCGAGTCGATCTAAAGTCATCCATGATTGTTAAGATCTAAGAATTAAGAAAAAGAGGATGAAAACATGTTCTCAAAAATTATGCTTAGTCCAAGAGAAACTTTCCTAAAGAACTTCGTGGTGCTCTGTACCTCAGCTATAGCGACCTTCCATCTCATCTCAAGCAATTCTTCGTGTACTATTTCTTCTTTCCTGAGGATGAACTATTTGATCATGATGATCTGGTTTGATTATGGGTAGTTCAATGCTTCATAGAAGGTCAAACTGATTCCTTAGAGGAAGATGTGGCAGAAGAATATTAGAAAGAATTGATTAGTATAAATCTTCTGCAGCATAATCTATTTGATGTCAGTCAATATTGCAGAATGCACGACAGGTTGAGATATCTAACGCAGTTTCTATCACAAGAAGAAATCTTTTCTGGAACTAAAATGTTTGCTACAATCATCTTTCAATGGAGAAAAAATTGAAGTCTATCAATCGAAACTCCTGAAAGTTTAGCAGCCGTTAAAGGGTTGATAACGGAGCATGTCTTCGTGTGTTGCGAATTAATGGTCTTCGTTTATCTCACATTCCCAACTTTATGATTAACTGATACACATGTCGTATCTTCTACTTTTGTCTTCCTTCATGAACAATGGACTTTAACACTTGAGGGATGTCATAACATTTTTCAACATTCATATACAATCCTAAATCTGCCAACTATTCAATCTCCTCCTTTTCATCCAAGAATATCTTTCTACAAAGTATTTCACTACTAGTCTCAACTAAAAAACTACATCAAAGAATGTATGCAAGCCATGCAGATCTACCTCACAACATTATCCTCTCTTGTTGTTACTCAAATCCTAACAATGACATCAACCCTTTATATTGGATTTATAAACAGATTAATCCAAACATATTTCCTCCAAATATCATCCAAAATAAGAAAAAGACTCTTCCTGTGAGCAGCGGACCGAAGTAATGGTTGGAGCTCCGTTTAAGTTCTGACATCACCATAAAAACCTTCAACTCTTCTAATCACTTGTTTTAGCATACCTATGTCATTATAAGTTTCCAAAACACATTCCCACATTTAGATTTGGAACTCAATTTGTATCATCTTATTGCTATATATTTTTTTGAGCAAGTGTGATTTTTCTTATTCCTCTCATTCAGTAAGCGCAAACACACAAAATTTGTTTGGTTGCCTCTCATTCAGTAAGTATCAACGTCACCAACCTTTTGTGGCCTCTTCAATCTCAGTTCCCAACACATCAAATTTTATAAAGAGGAAGTTTGGCGGGCGTTCACCTCTTCGAATTGGAAAATGGACAATTAGGGATATAAAAGAGTTGAGCTGAGCTCAATTCATTCATAGTTGTTTGGATCTAAGATTAAAGTAGATGAGAATGGAAAAAAGTTCTTAAAAAATATGCATGGTCCATGAGAAATCTTTCTGAAGAAATTCATGGTGTCATGTACCTCAGCTATGACGATCTTCAATCTCATCTAAAGCACTGTTTCGTTTAATGTTCATTGTTTTCTGAGGATCACCGTTTGATCTTGATGATCTGGTTCAATTATGGGTGATTGAAGGCTTCTTAGAAGAGCAAATTGATTCATTAGAGGAAGACGTAACATAAGAATATTATAAAGAGTTGATTAGTAGAAACCATCCATAGTCTGATCCTTATAAGGATAGTCCATATTTCAGAATGCATGACTAGTTAAAATTTCTAACGGGGTTTCTCTCACAAAATGACATATTTTTTTAGAAATACATTCTTTGCTGCAATCATCTCTCCATGGACAAAACTTCAAAAACTATAAATCAAAACTTCTGTAAGTTTAGAAACCACTAAAGATTTGATAATCGAGCAAAAAAAATCGTGAACTCTTCCTAAATGCATAAGTTATCAATATGCTAGATGATATGCAGTTGATAGAACTGACACGTCATCCTGTGTTGTGAATTAATGGTCTTCATTTATCTCACATTTCTAACTCTATTTGTTATCATATACACATGAGGTATTTTCTACTTTTGTCTTTCTTCGTGAGAACGCTGACAATGGTTTTTATCGCTAAAGGGAGGTCATTTCATTTTTTTAAAATTAATTTGAAATCCTAAATAAGAAAAATTTTATCTCCGTCCAAAAAACAACCCTTCTACAAAGTATCTCCCAAGTAGTCACAAGTGAAATCTATATCATTGGATGTATGTGTCATCCTCATTTCCCTCGCAACATTTTCTTCTTTTATTGTGACTAAGATCCTAACAATTTCAGTAGCGCTCTGTAATGAATTTCTGAACAGATTACTCGGAACATCTGCCTTCCAAACATTAACAAAAACGAGAACAATGCTCTTCTTGTGAGCAATGGATTGACGTAAAGGTTGGAGATCCGTTCTAATTCTGACATCACCATAAGAATCTCAAGCCCCTCCAATCACTTGTTGCAGCAATTCTATCTTTTATAAGTTTAGAAAACACAGACCCAAACTTTGATTTGGAACTCAATTTATATATTCTTGTTGTTATATATGTTTAAGCACAAACACAACATTTATTTGTCTGCTCTGCAACTATTACCAATACCAATTTTTCATGGCATTTTTAATTTTAGTTCCCAGCACATCAAATTTTACACTAAGAATTGAAAATGGAATATTATGATTGTAGAAGAGTCGAGTCGAGCTTTAGTCATGCATAATTTGTGCTTTGCATGGCTTGAGCTTAGTTCGTCTATTCAATTATGTGCTTGAGCTTGAGTACCAAGCTCTAACTTCCTTCAGTGATGGCAGTCGGCTCGCTAGCTTAAACTAAAAATTCAATTTTTAAGGGAGCTCACCGAAAAAATGCATCGAAATAGCTAGTGGTATAATAAATGAGCTTGCTTGCATACCAACTAGACGGGCTAGGACTAACAAGCTCGCTTTTGAGCTCGAGCTTGAACTCATGGCTTGATAAATTTTGCTCGTTAACACATTTACATTCTTAGCGACAACTAATTCTTAGTGGGTTAAGTTTTAATTCAAATTGTAATATAATAGTCCAAAATTTAACTAATTACCGTCTCTGTTATGAATTAAAAACATTTAAATGTTGTCTTATAAACAATTTATTAATTCCAAAAATTCCAGCTTAGCTGCATTAATTTTCTCTTCCCGGGGAATTGGCAAAATCACACTTACTCAAAAAATATATAACAAGATAGAAACTGAGTTCCAAATCAAACTGTGGGTCTATTTTTCACAAGCTAACAATGAGATAAAATTGTTGCAACAAGTGATTAGAGAAGTTGGTTGTTCTTATTGTGATGTCAGAACTAAAACAGAGCACCAACCATTACGTTACTCAATTGAAGAACTTTTTTCTTGTTTTAGATAATTTTTGGAGAATGGATGTTTAAATTAATCAATTTAAAAATCCATTACAAAGCGTTGTTGTCATCATTCGGATCCTGGTACCAACAAGAGATGAAAATGTTGCGATTTTTTTTGGATGGAGAATATAAGAAGATTGAAAGGATGCAGATTTAGGATTTCAAATTGTTAAAAAAAATATTTCTGCCTCTATCTAGCAATAGAAACCATTGCTAGCGTTCTGGCAAAAAAAGACAAAAGTAGATGATGTCTCATGTGTATCAGATAACCAATAGAGTTGAGATAGTGAGATAAATGAAGACTACTAATTCGCAGCACTCAAAGGTCTGCAAATTTTACAACTGTTTATCATCTAGCATATTGATTCCCAGCACATCAAATTCTACCTAGGAAGTTTAGTGGGTGTCCACTGCTAGGAATTGGAAAGGTAGAATTAGAAATGTAAAAGAGTCAAGTCAAGCTCGAGTCATGCATAATTGTTAGGATCTAAGATTGAAGTAGATGAGAAAGGAAAAAAGTTCTTCAAAATTATACATGGTCCATGAGAAACCTTCCTGAAGAACTTAAGGATGTGTTATACCTCTGTATGTTTACCTCTCATC